TTTTCTAATCTATGAACTTGTACATTTTAACCTCATTAACTATAAAAATATATCATCTTTATTTCATTTCGACACCTTCCAGATCACTCCAAAATGAGAGCATTTGTACAAATATTACATTTAAAAGAGTAAATATGTACGTGCTCATAAATGAAAAGATAAAGTAATATTCATTAATAATTAAGAAGATCTTAAAATAATTAACTCAAAAAAAAAAAGAAATTATATTTGACACAAAATTTTAAAATAAAATAAACAATAAACATGGCAATATATACAAAAGCAAGGATGGCCTGTTTTAGAACCGATTAAAAGTTATTTTTTAACTTTTAACATATTTTGTGTCACATTATTTTTTTTTATATTTTTACATATTTTAAAAAAAATACTAATCGAAAGCAATCTGATATATACATTTTGGCTTCATTTGTTTTTCAGAGGTAGAATGGAGGGGATTGATAGTAAGGAGATTAATAGTAAGGAGATTGTTAGTGAGGGGATTAAGTAAAAGGAAAATGTTTGGTAGCTCAAATTTTTGTGGCTCAAATGGCTCAAATCTGTTAAAACGACGTCGTTTTACACTCAAAATCTGTCAAAACGACGTCGTTTTGACAGATTTTGAGTGTAAAACGACGTCGTTTTAACAGATTTGAGCCATTTGAGCCACAAAAATTTGAGCTACCAAACATTTTCCTTTTACTTAATCCCCTCACTAACAATCTCCTTACTATTAATCTCCTTACTATCAATCCCCTCCGTTCTACCTCTGAAAAACAAATGAAGCCAAAATGTTAAAACAAATAAAATAATGATTTTTACTTAACAAAAAATATAAAAAAATAAATATTAATGTTAAAAAAAATGTCTAACATGTAAAAAATAAAATAAAAAATAAATAATTTTTTTTTAATCCGCCGAACTATTTTTCTAATACCAAATCCTGGAGGCCATCTGAATCTTCTTGAGGAGACCCATCCTAATCTGAAATTTACTTAATCTTTTCCGCATCTCTCAAAATAAACACAATATTAATAAATGTCGCTTCAGTACCAATCTTAATCTCCCATCTACCACTCCAATCAAACGGGCCGTTTGAGCTTTGAGATGGTGCAAAAGCTAGGTGGCATATCAGTAACTTCACCATTTGGGTTGTGACGCAAGCAAACAAAGTTGTGACGACAGTAGTGAGAGCAAAGAGAGACGAAGGTCTGACGGCACCTTCCCCGCGTTTTCTTCTCTCCTTCCTCTCTCTCTCTCTCTCTCGCTGTTTTTAGCTTTTTTTTTCTTTCCTTCCAGTGTGAAAAATCATTTTCCTCTTCTGTTCTTATTATATTTTCATTTTATATCTGCGTATATGTATATTTTTCTATAACACCAAAAAAACCTTCAAACAGAGAGAGAATTTTAGGAAGCAAACCCATTTACTCAATGTTTGGTTGAGATTTGAGCTTGTGGGTATTGATGGGTTTTTATTAATATATAGCTTTTCTGTTTGGTTGACAAGAAAAACAGAGTTAAAAAAAAAAAGTCTCTCTTGTTTGGAGGTTGGAGCACAAGATGGGGAACTGCTTTGATTCTTATGCTAGAGTCGATACTTCTCAGTGCATCAATACAAATTGTGGTAATACATACATCTCTATCACTTTTGGTATGGTTCATTTGGAGTTCCAGATGGAAAAGAAAAGAAAATTAGAGGGAAACTTTATTTGGGAATTCATCTAACCATATGTCTATTTTTGTATTTCTATTTTAAGGGTTTTGATTAATTCTGGGTATTTTTATTTTATTTCATTTCTTTATGCTATATGTTGCCTAATTTACAGAATTACTGTATTTCTGAGGGTTTGTTTGGCATAGGTTAATTGACCCTGGCTGAAAAGCAAATTCTGCTGCATGTTCTGATAATTGTGATTTTTTTTTTTGTGTGTGTGTGTGTGCGCGTGTTTTAGGTTTTTCATCACTTGTATGGCTTCATTTGTTGGTTATTTGCATGTCTCTGTTCTTGTTCATTAGGGTTTGGATTAGATGTCTAGGCCTGTTTTGTAAATGTTTATTTGGGAGATATGGGATTAGGTTTTCAATAGATTTTTATAGTTGTCATTATTCATTGATTCACCTTGGGGGAGTGAGTCCAAAATTGGTTGTGAAGTCCAATAATGGATCATTTGTATATTTTCCTAAAGAAAGTAACTTTAACTGAAATGTTTCAATTTTTTTACCACTTTACTTTTGGTGTGTTCGTTGAACTTTTACTCCATACATATTTGTATTGCTTTGTGCAAGCACTTTTATGGACACATAGTCATGAAAGCTACAATTGGTGACTATTGATAAGGTTACCCACTATCGATTAATGTTTGAAATTTTGGAAAATCACTCTCATTTGTTTCTTAACATATAGATTAAGAGGATTCTTTTCACTTATGGATGCACTGTTATTTTTATTTATTTTATTTTATTTTATTTTATTTTTTTTTTGGGGGGGGGGGGGGGGAAGGTATCCTTTTTATAAGGAAAGGAATGTGCATAATATTCTCGTCACACTCGATCCATCCATAGATGGCTAAATCAAGGTTTTTCAGACCAATCATATTGGATAAGGATTTCAAAATTTTCATAACATTTAAAATTATTAAGAATGAAGTATAAGAAAAAAAAATATGGGTTGGTATTGTTTCGTTGTGACTGGGACCTCGCCTAATGTCTGCTTGTTTATAATTGGCTGGGGTTATCAATCATCTTTGAAGAGTCTTGGGCAACAAATTACTATTTTATAATACAATATACAAATTTTAACCGAAGAAAATTGGAAGAATAATGACAGCTGTTCAAAGCAATTTTCCATTAGCAAGGATGGAACTTTTTGCTTTACTCATTCCATGAAATCAATCATTGGAGGATTGATAATGAACAGGGCGAAGTATTTAGAGCCATATTTATGCAAGGTGCTTCTCGAGGACAATTCTTGGAGTTTTGTTAAATGGTAAAGATTTGAAGAAAAGGTGTTTGTAAAGAGTTTTTTAGTTAGAGGAGGGCATAAATGTGTTATGGAGACCCATTTGGGTTGGCAGGAAGTGAGTGTGGTAGACCATGCTGGGTGGTTAGAGATAGAGAGAGTATGGCAAAAGGGAGGCCCAACGGATGTGCACAAATTCAAGGAGGGCAATTCAAGGTTAATGGAGTGATTAGCGTGAGAATTGGCTCTGATATATTAGTGTAGTCTACCTCCAAGAGGTAGGAGAGAACAGGTCATGAGTCTAACTGAAAACAGAACTTATGTTGTGCTATTAACCTGCAGTGACCAACTGGTCTAGGGTAGTGTCATTGACAGCTAATTTTTTTTTACTTCTTGAAGGTCTAAGCTAACTTTGGGAATCCGAGCACACCAACAGAGCACTGGTCCCTCCAAGCATACCTCCACTTGTCATTTTGCCTATGGAGGGTTCATCCATCTGCATCACCATGCCCAAATGGGTCGTACTTTTGATCTAGTTAGGCGCAAGTGTCAAAATGACCTTAGAGACCTTTCCTGACTCTTCAATGTGATTGTTACCTTGATACCTGAAGTAATGAATCTCTCATAGGAAATGTGTCGTATTGTGCTATGTGGCATCTGACGAATGGTGCCATGTATAGGGCTCCCCTAGGTTGAAAATTGGACACAAAACAGTGGTATAGATATCTCAGAATATTAAAAAATGGCAACTTGAAATAGTGAATATCTAAACAAATCTTAAATTTTAGATGAAATGATAAACAATCTTGCCAGAAATTAGCTTTATATCCTAAGCCTAGATTATTTTGTGACTATGGTGTTAAATGCTTTATAAAAATTTTCTTTGCATGTCACTATGAATGCTCTTCATACTAACAAGAGGGATCCATCATAGAAGATCTTTTTCCTTTCCTTTTTTAGGAAGAAGAGGTGGATTTGGTCAAAATCAAATGAAGCGGATGTGATCTAGGTGAATAGAAAGAAAAAAAAACAAAGGATGAATCCCATTTTACAAAAATAGCCCAATTTTTGAAGCTTATGACTTGGGTGGAATCAAGAAAATCAAAGTTAAGAAGAACCAGGTACATGTCAAATGATTAGGCTCAATCAAGGTTTTAAAAAGCGGCCGCAACCGTTACGTAACGCCGTTACGTAACGGTTTTGGCGGTTACCGCCACCCGTTACGGCCGCTTTTGCAGTGTGATTGAGATTCACAGGTGTGTCGGCCGTAGCAGCTGCCATAGCGGTCATAACGGCGCCGTAACAGCCATAACGGCTTGTTCCGTACCGTTACGTAACGGTTCTAAACTGTTTCTTTCAAAAAAACACACTAAAAAAGCTGAAAATGGGGGAAGAGAGATAGAGAGAAGAGGGAAGATAAAGAGAGAAAATGGAGGAGCAAGAGATAGAGAGAGAGAGAAGAGGGAAGATGAAGAACATGTTATTGATTTGTTGAAGCTGTAAGACCTATGTTATTCTATTCAGCTGCTATCACTCAACCATTTTGTTTGTATGTGTCTATCTATATATTGTTTGAAAATAATAATAATAATAATTGTGGTCATTATTTATTTGGCTCGGTGAAAATATGTATATATATATATATATATATATTTAGGCACTTATTTATTCTCTTACTTTTGTCATTATTTATCTTATATATAATAGTTAGTGATTGATTTTTTGTATAATATAAAGTCATTAATTATTAAAATAAAATGTAAAAAACTCAGTTTATAGTGATTTAAAAAAATCAAATATATTGGATCATACTTAAAAATTTACAAAAATTGATCAATATTTATTTTTAACCCAATAAATATGATCATGGAAAAAAAATATGCGTATCAATAAGTTTTTTTCAAATTGTGCGAAAAATAAAAAAATTCACGGTTCCGGTTACCGCAACCGTTACACTACGGCCTTTACACCCCGCAACCGCAACCGCGCCACCGCCACCGTTACGGCGACTGCAACCGCTTTTCAGAACCTTGGGCTCAATTGTTTTGATCTAGGAATCATGGGCACTTCCCCAAGGTAAAATGCTTGTCCGACACAAACACGTGTCTGACACATCCCGACACCCATTCTAGATTTTCAGACACAGGCTGAGACATGGGGGCTTATATGCTATTTTTAAAATGTATAATAACAGGTCCAAATGATTATAACAAACTGGTTCTAGAAAGATGCTAGGGTGGTTATATGTTGGACATAAATGTTGCAAACATGCTTTAATGACATTACAACTACTTGGATTTATATATATTTATATATTTAATGACAAGGAACCCCTCCAAAGGTAGGGCCTCTTTTCACTCACCCCTGCTGGGTTACCTTGGATAACTGTAACCACCTACAAGCCACAGTTATCAGGTAAGTCAGGGAGTCACAACATGAGATGAAGACAAGTTGTGGTTGATCTTTGAGCCGCTTGGCTACCCTGATGGAGTTCCAGTTGGATATCTTATGGATTGATATAAGCAAAAGCCAAGTTTTGACCTTGTAAGTGATTCCGTGTAAATATGGAGATCCCACATGCGAGAACAAATTTTTTTATACCATTTAACACTGCAGATTATTTGAGCTGAGATTGTTGTTCAATTGTGTTAAAAATTGCCTGACTTTGTTCTTTCTGCAATAAGCACATCTTTTTTTTTGGGGGGGTGGGTTCTTTATTGTTAATTGTTTGTTTTCCTTTCTGGTCTACTTCAGGGACCTCAAAAGTTCCCAGCAAAACCACCAGTCCTTCAACTCCTTCCAGCCTGACAGTTCAATCTCACAGTGAAAAGAGTACTGAAAGCATCCCTACTCCCCGATCCGAAGGTGAAATAGTGTTGTCCCCTAATTTGAAACCCTTCTCTTTTAATGAGTTAAAGAACGCCACCAAAAACTTCCGTCCCGACAGTCTTCTTGGTGAAGGAGGCTTTGGTTATGTTTTTAAAGGATGGATCGATGAACATACACTTACTGCTGCAAAGCCTGGAACGGGTATGGTTATTGCTGTCAAGAAGCTTAAACCTGAGGGTTTCCAGGGCCACAAGGAGTGGTTGGTATGTTCTTCATTACTCGCTAAGTGTACGCGCAATTTTTTATTTTTTTATTTTGGCTTGGATCATTTATTTAGCCAAATATTTTGCAGACAGAAGTTAATTATCTCGGCCAACTTCATCATCCAAATCTGGTTAAACTTATTGGCTATTGCTCAGAGGGTGATAACCGACTGTTGGTCTATGAGTTCATGCCCAAAGGAAGCTTGGAGAATCACTTGTTTCGAAGTAAGTTGCACATTTCAATGAATATTTTGGGAATCATACATCGGTTTTATTATAGGTTTATAATTAATTTTTGGTGTCTCTTCTTTTCATTTTCCTATAAACATTTCGTCCATGTTCTTTGCACTACTTGTCTATTTGTTACGTTTGTTTGTTTGTTATGTTTTTATTATTGGTGTGATGGAACTATAAGCCTGGGGAACTGTTTGTCTGTTAGGGAAGCTGATTACTTTAATTAGGTTAGAAAAGGTAAAAAAAAATAAGACAAATGAAAGTATAGCTGTTGCTGATCTGGTTAAGATTGTATTACAATCATCCCTTTCTACTTTCAAATTATAGAAACAATGCATTCATTTGTTCTCTTCAAAATGCCAATGTCTGAAAGTAATTGATGGTGTTGTCAAAGTACGATAGGCTTCTATGGAAGAGAATTGGTGCAAGTGCAATATATTGTGTAGTATGAATATTGTGGGTGTGGGTGGGTGGGTGGGTGTCCAAGCATTAGGATATCGGGATATGTATGGACATGTATATTGTATATTGTATAATATTCTCAGATAAGATGTAAATTATGTGAAAATGTACTTACAATTAAATAAGGTCTAGTAAAATTTTGGAATTTCTATTTCTCATTCATGTGAGAGGCTAGAAATGTTTCTTTTCTAGCAAATCTGAATTTTTTCTTTTTCAGACATCATAAAAAAATTTAGATTATTTGAGTGTCCAAATTGGATACGAGTGTCTGACACAAATCCAACACCTTTACATGTGTCATATCCAGTGGACACGGGTACTTTGGTGGAACTATAAGAGTCTGTAACAGACAAAAACCTTTGAGAGAAGCTAAAAGAAGGCTATGATAAATGGCTCTTAAGTACAGCCAGTTTATGCTCATCTTCTCTGTTCTGCATCCTCTGAGTAATAATGCCTGGTGGTGTTGATGTGGAGTTTTCTTTTTTGTTCAATTGCCTTTTTCATATTGAAATTTGCTATTTGAATGAAGGACTGCTTTTTCATGCATTTTACATCTGCCCATTGATTATGACAACCCACCATGCTTGTAGCACTAAGTTCGAATTGATGATTGATTTATGGAGTCTTTAGATGCAAATTTCAGTGTCTAGCTTTACATCTGCTCATGAATGGGGCATTCTTGCAACCTCTGGGAACAGTGACCTGATGCCACTGTCATGTTTTGCAGGAGGGCCCCAGCCGCTTTCGTGGGCAATAAGGATCAAAGTGGCAATAGGTGCTGCTAAAGGCCTCTCTTTTCTTCATGATGCTAAATCACAAGTCATTTATCGGGATTTCAAAGCTTCTAATATCCTACTAGATGCGGTATGCTAGTAAGAACTACATTTAAATTTTTTGTTTTTTTTGGCACTTTGGGTTTGGCAATTGTATTTTTAACTGTTTTTTTTGTTGATTTTTCTCTCTTCACTTTTAGGTCCTACTATTCTAGAAGACCCTAAAAATAAAAATTTAAAAATATTGAAAAAAATTCACACAAAAAAAGAAAAAAAGAAAAGAAGAAAAGAAGCATCTGGAAAGTAGAATTTAAAATTAAAAATAAATAAATAAATAAATAAATAAATAAAATACATCCTTTTAGATTAGACAGACATGAAAAGTAAAACTTTTGACAGAAATTTAGAAGCATTTTACTAAAACAAAATAGTTCAGAATAAAGCTTTGCCAAACAGAGAGAGAATAATTGCTGAAATTGCTTGCATAAAAAATTTCATGTTTATATGGATTTCATCTTGATCATGCTCTTGGGATGCAGGACTTCAATGCGAAACTGTCTGACTTTGGATTGGCCAAGGCCGGACCCACTGGTGACAGGACACATGTTTCCACTCAAGTGATGGGTACTCACGGCTATGCAGCACCTGAATATGTTGCTACAGGTACATCAACCACCCTTCCAAAGTACTCATCTTTGCTCGCTTTCATATTCTCGATTGTCTTGTTGATTTGTAAAGGTAACGGCTAGGAAGCACGGATACTTCTAAAAGGGAGTTGTATCCATATCATATATTTGTAATGGGTACTAATACTCGCAAATACGTATCCGATACTTGATTTCAATTTGAGAAGTATCCGATACTTTTTAGACACTATAGGTCACACATCTAAGCTTTTATAAAGTTGAAATTGAAATAATTTTTTGCATAATATTAGAGTATAATTGTTAGAATAAATACAAGAATAATTTTTTAATATTTTCTATTTCATTCCAAATAAAAAAATACTGAGATTGAAGTAGTATTCTACTTTTTCAGATTTTATCAAATTAACATATCTACTTACGCATACTATTGACTTTTAAACTAATTCATAAATAATAGTTTCTCACTATTCTTTGAGCTCATATATAATATGATACTAAAATTATAATGTTTTTTTATCGTAACCTAGCCATATCTGTATATTACTTTTTAAAATTTTGTTACATTGTCATATCCGTATCTCATATTCGTATTCATGATGCATGGGGTAATGGTGAATTTGTATTAAAGTGCTTGCTGATGCACAGGTCGGTTGTCTGCAAAAAGTGATGTATACAGCTTCGGGGTTGTTTTGCTGGAACTATTATCCGGACATCGTGCTGTCGACAAATCAAAGGCTGGCGTGGAGCAGAACCTAGTGGACTGGGCAAAGCCGTATTTGGGCGACAAACGAAAATTATTCAGAATAATGGACACAAAGTTGGAGGGTCAGTACCCCCAAAAAGGAGCTTATGCAGCTGCTACAGTTGCCTTACAGTGTTTAAGCACTGAGCCCAAACTCCGACCACGAATGGCAGAGGTGTTAGCCACGCTACAACAGCTTCAAACTCCCAAAAACGCAGCCAAACACACCCAGCCAGAGCATCGGACTGTTTCTAATTCTGTTGGTAAGTCAGCAGCAAGACATCACCGGTCGCCGATGAATCCGACACCATTAGCATCCCCATTGCCGCCCTATCGGCAGTCACCACCTGTACGTTGAGCATATGTGCATGCCGTGTTTCTGGGTATTTTAGTGTAAATCTTTTTTCTTCGGCTTTTACATTTTGTTGTTTATATAAAATGTTGTAGCGGAATGTTTTGTGATGGAATATTGGATTATGTAAAACATTTATTTCACCACCTTGTTTTTAAATGTATCAATGTAGCTCTTATGTATTTTTTGGGTGGTGCAAAATGTTTTTGTTTTTCAGTTTCATCTGTGCCTGAAATTGTTTGCTTCTTCTCATTTTGTTTTTGTTTTTTGTTTTTTTTAATTTTAATTTTAATTTTTTTCATCAAAACGGAAACATTAGTAAAATTCTTATATTTTCATTGAGACACACCGTAACACATTGAAATATATGAAACAGTCAGTTGTTTTAACACCTATAAATTTAAATACAAAATTAAAAATGAAAAAGAAAATAAAGAAAAAATAATTTTATTTATATATCTCTCATTTTTTCTTTTAAAATCTCTATTTAAACATGATCAAAACTCAGCTGAATGGAATTTTTTAGTTTTTTATTTCTTGGTTGCTTCGTTCATAAGAAGAGTCTCGTTCTTTTTTAGAATGAAACGTGTACCATGTGTATTTGGAGAAACAACAGATAGAATTCATCTCTTGCATTAGATGGAGTATGAAACTTAAAATGTGCTCTTAAAGCCTCTCCTCGTTAATATATAAATTTTTTGTTAAGATGGAAAATGTGTTTTAGAAATATATAGAAAGTTTAAAATTTTAACAAATTAGTGATAAGTATTTTAAAATATGTGCGAAGTGTTTAGAGACCTATTACTTATATAAGAAATTTCACCGACAATCACAGCATCAACAATTGGGTCATACGTTTTGGGCTTTATCTCAAGTTTGATCCCTAACTCATGTCTATGATCTCATGACTTGTATGCATTTTCTAACCATGTCAATTTAACCATTTCAGTGAGTAATTCAAAATTATGTATTATTTAGATAAATAACAAAGTTTGTTCGAATTTAGTTGGTGAAGTGATAGTTCGATTACTCAAATAAAGACATTTAATGTTGAACGCTTGACGTGATTTTAAAAAATTCAAAATGGTAGGCGAACAATTGAGATATTTGAGAAAAACTAAAATTGGTGGTAGATTGCGGTTGTTTTCTTGTTATTCATACATGGATCGTAATAGTTGTGTTGAGTTTGTGATGACTTCATGAAAGAAAGAATTAATTTAAATGATTACGGCAATAAAATAGGTATAAAATATATCATATTGATCGAAATATTGCTACTGTGTTGTACTATGTCAATCTAGCAAGTTCAAAGTTCAAGACTTCAACGGAATCTGGATGTTATTGTAAGCGATAAGAATAATTAAATAACATAATAAAGAATAAGAGAAAAAATTAACGAAAAAAATAAATCATTTTATCTAATGGAAAGAGTTAGTCTCAAAATCACAATAGAACGCATATGTACCTACTTTGAAACCTTTCCATATTTGCATTGATGGCGGTAATGCCTATTATTAGATTGTTTATTATAAAATGTTCATTATGTTTTCTTGTGAAAAACACTTGTTAGATTGTTTATTACAAAATGTTAAAATATTTTTACTTTATTTTATTTCAAATTTATGTAAAAAATATCACAATTTTAATGGTTATATTTATGTTACTGAACCAACACTTCTCTTGGATTTGATTCATATTCTTATGGTTTATTTTCTAAATAGAATTAATTCTGTGATAAACAAATTAAATATTAGAAAAATTATTCGTAGATCCTGTTTGAAATATGTGTACACTATTTAATCCAATAACTTTTTGAGTGGACCCAAAAGTTCTACACGTTTTCCTCTCTTTGTCTCTCTCTCTGTGTTTTCTCTCATTCTTACGTTTCCTTCTCTCTTTTTTTCTGTGTTTTCCTCTCATTCTTTTTGTCATGTCTGACGACCGGTGATCACACATTTCTTATTCTCTTTCTAATATATAGCCACCGGTAACCGACGACTACCATTGATTAGAGTTCACTGGCAATCACTAACCACTGACATCAACTCGTTACTTTATCCTCACAGACGGCGAAGAAGATGACAAATCTGATGTAGATCTACATGAGATCCGACTAGGTCTAAACAAAAAATAGTTGCTGGAGTACAATATTTTTTCTATATCTATTCTTTCTTTCAATTTCTTAATTTTTCTATCTTTTCTTTGTTACACACGTCTATTTTTCTATTTTAATGGAGAAAAATTTCAAGTTCTGAATAAGTTGTTTTTAAATTTTAGTTACAGGCGGTGAAAATTGTAAAATTTTACAATTTTAGCTTTTTTGGTGCTGAAATGAATCATGCTTTAAAACTACAGAATTTTACAGTTTCATAACATTCTTTAGAAATATAAAATTTTGGAGTTTCATAACATGTTTTCCAACTTAATAGAATAATGCTTTGAAATTGTAACATTTTATAGTTTCAAAACTTACTTTTCAGTTTGATCAATATTACATATTATTTGCTTAAATCCTACCAAAATTAAAAATAATATATACTTTTTCCCATTGTTGTTGGTTGTTGTTATGTTTTTTTAACTATAATTTCTCTATTTATTCTTTTTTTTTTTCCAACAATATTTTGAATATTTCAGTGAGTCTCCGATGATATTCTTAACATTTTCCAGGGACGTTCAGAATACTCCGGCGAACTTCCACCGATGCTCAAAACACTCCGGCGAACTTTTGGTAATGCTCTAGCGACTTCCCGGTGATGTTGAATATTCCGGTGAGTTTTCGGCGATTCTGACGGAAATCGTTGGATGTAGCAGCATTTTTAAAATTATAAAAATAATTAAAAAAAAAAGAATTTTTAGTAACAATTAAAAATATATAAGACTAATTGGTGCAAATATTTTGTTTTGAAATTAAATAAATTTTAAATTTTATGTATGAGATTTATTGGTAAGTGTCCCTTAAATATTTATTACACAAAGAAAGTTTGGTATCGTGGCCCATTTATTATTCATGACAAAATGTGTTGTTGTGTCGGGCCTGATCCAATTTCTATTTGTGTCGTGTCGTGCTGGCCCAATTTAGCTACATCTAGGCACAACCCAACCCATGGGAACGACAATGTCCATGTCTCGTGTTGTGCTTTTTATTTAGTTTTAAAAATTGGGGACAAAAGTAAAACAGCAATTTTTAAGTGTGCAAGCGCATATCATATATTTATTATCTTATAAAATTATGTAGGATTTTACAAATATACGTAAATTAATTCATAAAAATTAAAAAAAATCACAACTTATGTATATTTGTGAGAACTTACATGATTTTATGAAATAATTTATGTATATTTGTGAGAACTTACACAAGTACTTATGATATGCAACTTACACAACCAAACTCTTCCCAAAACAAAAAAAAAATGATAGAAAGAAAACTATTACAAAACCATAATAAGTTTAAAAGACAACAATCATTTTGTCAATTAATAAAATTTAAAATACGGAGGAATGATATATGAATACATATTTTCACTAATAAACCCAATTTTTTCCTGATAAAAAATAATATTAATTTTTAAATTTTTTTTTTTTCGTTTGTGGGATTATCTAACCCTAGATCTGTGGGGAAAATAATAATAATAATAATCAATCAGCCTATTGATTGTATTCAATACCACTTCAATATGAGCCTACTTGATAACACATTGTACAGACCCCAATTTAAGCGTCCTGCAAGAGCCTACACACCAAGAAAATTGGTCACCAAAAAAAAAAAAAAAAAATCTTTAGAGAAAAAAAAGAAAAAAAAGTGAAGTTAGAATGTAACTGAAAAAAATGAAAAAAAACATAATCTAATTAAAAAAGAAGAAGAAAAAACTTAAACAAGATATCAAAAATATAAGTTTGTAAGCCCTAAATACTTACATTGTCAAAATCGGTAAATAAATATTGTAATTGATAGAAAAAACGGAGAAATTAATATGATCATCGCCACTATTTCACTATATTTTTACGATTAATAACAATATCAAATGAATTCAGGAGTTCTCCCAAACACTTTAGTAGGAATTCATTCACCTCTTTTGAGGGAAAAAAGAGCCCCAATGAAGTGTTCAGGGGAGCTCTAGGGGACTTCTGATGTTCACTCGGTATCGCTTTCTTTGGCAGCTTGGTTATGAAATGCCTATATGCCCTACGATTTGTAGTAAGTAGATATGCAAGAGCCTACGCACCAAGAAAATTGGTCACCAAAAAAAAGGAAAAAAAAAAAAAAAAGTTAGAATGTAACTGAAAAAAACGAAAAAGCACATAATCTAATTTAAAAAAGAAAAGAAAAAACTTAATCAAGATATAAAAAATATAAGTTTGTAAGCCCTAAATACTTACGTTGTTAAAATCGGTAAATAAATATTGTAATTAATAGAAAAAGTGGAGAGATTAATATGATCATTACAACTACCTCACCATATTTTTACGATTAATAACAGTATCAAATGAGTCCAGGAGTTCCCCCAAACACTTCAGTAGGAATTCATTCACCTCTTTTGAGGAAAAAAAGAGCCCCAATGAAGTGTTCAAGGGAGCTCTAGGGGACATGTGATGTTCACTCAGAATCGCTTGCATTGGCAGCTTGGTTATGAAATGCCTACATGCCCTACTATTTGTAGTGAGTAGATCTCTTTGCATTTAGTCCCAAATGTGCACCAAGTCCATTAGAAAGACGTAGAATCCAAACATATAAAGCTGTGAATACTGAATCTAGTCGCAAATGTGAGTTGGATGAAAGGCTGTGAGTCATGGTCTGTTGAGGGGCCATCTACCCTCCTATCTTCATTTCTCTATCGTCTCTATTCCCTTTCATTTTCAGCTTCTTGACCTGATAGAAACAAAGATACTTTTGGCTAAAAAAAAAAAAAAAAAAATCTAATCTTTTTAAATATATAATTCAATCGCAAATTTAAAAGAGGCTTCCTATGGTATGTAAAAGACTAAAAGTTATTATTGCAAATGCCATACGTAGAGATGTCTCACGAAAAATTTCAACGCTAAATGTCAAATTTCTTGTAGTGATTCATGAAGTAAATTGGCTAATATATCAACTTATTAAGCTGGGTTTTAGCTACATTAAAGTCTTCAGTTAAGCTAATACACACTCCATATGAAGATTCTGTGTTGTCATTGCAATTCATGAAAAAAGTTAAAAAGGATAGGTCTTGTAGAAATGAGAGA